AGAGATTAGTTAACTTTGTTATTAAATTAGTTGAATTTTGAAATGTTTAAATGATTAATATTAAGTTGTTTTGATGGGTATATTTGAATTAATTTGAGATTAGTAACCTTGCTTGTTACTAAAGTAGATGAATTTTGGAATGGGTGAATGGTTACTTTTAAGTTGTTTTGATGGGTAATTTTGAAAAAATTAGAGATTAGTAACCTTGTTAGTTTAGCAATTGTTAGTTCAATGAATGATGTGTTTTAGCTTATAAATAAATTAGTGAATTGACATGTTATGAGAAAGAAATAGTACATACCTTATATTTAACCTAATTTTTGTTTATTGTTTTTTTTTAACAGATTTGTGAATTGAAGCACGAGTTTAATTAGCTTGAGGACTACATATTGAGCTCAAGTGGGTAGTTGCTATATTGGTATGACTTATAAACTTTACTTAGCTATATTTCTTTCTATTTATCCATTTAATAAAAGTTTATTCATGAAATTGCAACTTGTGTATTGTTTAATTGCAAATAAATACAACAATATATAGAATACTTGCATCATCATATGCCTAGATACCCGTTCAAGGCTTTCTCATTAGGAGAAAGTCTTGAATAGTCCCCGGTTGGGACTGTTCTTGAATGTGTACTCTCACTTAGGTGGTGAATGTATGTTTTCTTTTCGATTTTAAGGAACATCTTGGCTTACCATTTCCTCACTATGTTCTCTGGGTACATATGTGGGTAATTAATTATCTACATCGTGTACTTGGAGAACTAGGGGGAAATGCTGCCGGATTTTCCTTAAAATTGGAAAGTTGACATACATTCACTAGTGAGAGTAGACATTCAAGGATGGGTTAGGTTGGAGTGATAAGGACCCTTTGGAAACATGCATTTTTTCACTATATGAATGGTATATTCAAGTTTTGTACTTGAATTTGATTTACATAAAATATGTAGCACTTACACATTATAAATTATATATTGCTATATATGTGTAGAGACAATTTACTAAATGGAGAAGGATCGTGGTTGGATGTATGGTAGACGCGATACATTGGAATTTTGGAATGGGGTTCAAGAGTTTGCGAGAGGGCTTTAGCTTATCAACGCAAACTGGGTGGCAAAGGCCTTTATTGTCCTTGTGTTGATTGTAATAATGTGAATGTGGTCGATAGTGTTGAAATCATTAGAGATCATGTATTATGTCGTGGGTTTAGGAAATTATACCATGTGTGGATTTGGCACGGAGAAAGTGGAGGGTGCAGTGGGGATCTTGATCGAAATGATGTGCGTGTTAGAAGCAATGAGATTCATGTGGACGAGGAATACGAGAATGATGAGTATATTGTTGATAATGGTGAGGATGGAGCCGATGATGATCAGGCGGATGAGGTCGAGGATGAACAAGTGGATGAGATGTTTCATGGTGTTGAAGGTGAAGTGTTTTAGTTATTATCGGAGGCTTCCAAAAAGCCTTTGTATCCCGGGTGCAAAAAATACTCCAAACTATCGGCCGTGCTAACACTTTTCAACATTAAGTCGAAGCATGGGTGAACGGACATCAGTTTTACTTCTTTGTTGACTGCATTAAGTGATATGTTGCCTGATGGGAATGAAATTCCTAAGTCTTACTATTACGCAAAGAAGCTCATGTGTCCCTTTGATTTGGAGTATAAGAAGATACATGCATGTCCTAATGACTGTATTTTGTATCAAAATGAGTATGAACAACTGCAGGAGTGTCCACGATGCAAGCGGTCGCGGTACAAGCGCATGAGTTGTAATCCTGGCACGAAGGGACCTCTTGCTAAGGTGTTGTGGTATCTTCCCATTATTCCAAGGTTTAAGCGTCTGTTCTCAATACCAAAAGACGCTAAAAACTTAAGGTGGCATGCAGAGGGAAGAAAGAAAAACAGAATGTTGAAGCATCCAGCTGACTCTCCACAGTGGAAGAACATTGATTTGAAGTTTGAGGAATTTGGTAATGAAGTCAGAAATTTAAGGCTTGGGTTGTGCACGGACGGGATGAATCCATTTGGCACTCTTAGTACCCAACACAGCACATGGCCGGTACTTTTAGTGATTTATAATTTGCCTCCTTGGCTGTGCATGAAACGTAAGTATGTAATGCTTTCATTGCTAATAACTGGTCCTAAGCAACCTGGAAACGACATAGATGTTTACCTTGCGCCGCTTATTGACGACTTGAGAAAGATGTGGGACGAAGGGGTTTCCGTTTTCGATGCTCCTCAGAACGAGATGTTCACATTGCGTGCATCCCTTATGTGGACCATGAATGACTTCCCTGCATATGGCAACTTGTGTGGGTACAAGGTCAAAGGGAAAAAAGCATGCCCCATATGTATTGTTGACACATCAAGCGTATACCTGACTCATTCTCACAAAGATGTCTACGTACGGACTCGAAGGTTCCTTAGGCGTGATCACCCGTACCGTAGGCAGAAAAAGGCTTTCGATGGAACCGTGGAAGAGGATACTGCGCCTAGACCATTGACTGGTGCTGAGATTAGTGCTCGGGTGTAAGGGATACGAACGGTGTTTGGAAAATAAGAAAAAACTGTGGTCTCAGCTGCTCTGTTTAAGAAAGAATCAATCTTTTGGAAGCTTCCGTACTGGAGAGAACATGACGTTAGGCATTGTCTTGATGTGATGCATATAGAGAAGAATGTGTGTGATGCTATTTTGGGGATGCTTATGAATATCCCAGGCAAAACAAAGGACAGAAAGGGTGCACGGTTAGATTTGAAAGAGATGGGGATTCATCCAGAATTGTGGCCTCAAGAAAAGGTTAGAAAGGGGAATGAGCCGAGAATAGAAGATGAAAATGTTTCGAAAAAAGGGAAGGAGAAGAGCAAGGGAAAGGGAAAGGCCAAAGATGCGTCAAAGAAGAAAGTTAAGGGTAAAGGGAAGGATGAAAAGAATTATTTACCCCCGGTTTGCTATAAATTGTCAAGGGTAGAGAAACGTATGTTTTGTGCATGTCTGTACGGCATTAAGGTTCCATCAGGGTACTCATCTAACATGAAAAGATTTGTAACCTTAAATGGAGAATTGAAGCTGACAAGTATGAAATCCCATGATTGTCACATTATGATGCAAGTATTCCTACCGATTGCAATCTGTGGTATTCTACTGAAACACGTGAGGGAAGAGATTACAAGCCTTTGTTCGTTTTTCAATACAATTTGTAGCAAAGTTCTTGATCCTTGTACACTAGATGCTTTGCAAGCAGATGTGGTTGTGACTTTGTGCAAATTTGAGATGTATTCCTCACCCTCATTTTTTGACATAATGGTTCATCTGGTTCTTCATTTGGTGCGTGAGATTAAGTTGTGCGGTCCAGTGTTCATGAGGTGGTGCTACCCTTTTGAAATACACATGGGTACATTACAAGATAAAGTACAGAACCGGGCTCACCTTGAAGGAAGTATGATGCAAGGGACCGTGGGTGAGGAGATAGGTAACTTTGTGGCAGACTACATAGCCCTTGCTCAACCTATTGGTCTTCCTACTTCTCGACATGAAGGTAGACTTGATGGTCATGGCACAATTGGGTCGAAACGAATGTCACCAGACCGAGATCAGTTCTTACAAGCACACCTTTATGTGTTGCACCATGTTTCAGATGTGCACCCATATTTAGACGAGCACATGGCTAGTTTGCGTGACGAATTTCCATCCAAAGGTGAAAGGGCACTTATGCAGTTGCATAATAAGAGGTTTGTTGATTGGTTTCGTGATCGAGTAATGAGTGGATTGAATGATACTAATGTGACCGATACAGTACGGTGGCTTGCGTACGGTCCTAGGGATGATGTCCGTTCATTTGAGGGATATGACATCAATGGGTACACTTTTTGGACCGAGGGTCGTGATTTGAAATCTTCTTCTACCCAAAATAGTGGTGTAACTCTTGTGGCATCGTCAAGGGAGTTTTCAAGTTCTAAGGATAAATCACCCGTCGATGCAAAGTTGTCATACTATGGTCGAATTCAAGAAGTATGGGAGCTTGATTATTGTGACTTCACGGTTGCTCTTTTCAAGTGTAAGTGGGTTGATAATATCAGGCGTAACGTCAAATATGAGGACTTTACTCTTGTAGATCTTGGCCACTTGAATGATAGTGCGGAACCATTTATCCTTGCATCTCAAGCTAAGCAAGTGTTCTACGTAACTGACCCAATGGATTCAAAATGGTCTATAGTGCTAGCTGGCAAAAGAAGAATCCTAGGCATTGGAGATGTTGAGGATGAGGAACAATATGATGCGTTTGATGATTCAGTACCTTTCACTGTTCCTAGACCTGTTGTACTAAATGACATAGACAACGAAGCAGGTTATATGCGATCAGACCACAACGAAGGAACTTCAGATTGAGGTAGTTTGATTAAAAGTTAGTAATGGTTTCATAGCAAATATAGTTTAGTTATCATGTATATAGGAGCGTAAGTAGGCGAAAATGACATATTTGTAGTTTAAAATTGCCTAAGTGTACTCATTATCATGCATATACAAGGTTATAGGACCATAAGTAGGTGAAAATGGCTTAAATAGCTTCTACTTAACCCAATTCTTTTGTTTTGTGTATGAACTAACATTTATTCATTCTAACAACCTATATTCAATATATTTAACATGTTTTTAGTTTGAAATTGCCTAAGTGTACTCATTATCATGCATATACAAGGTTATAGGACCATAAGTAGGTGAAAATGGCTTAAATAGCTTCTACTTAACCCAACTCCTTTGTTTTGTGTATGAACTAACATTTATTCATTCTAACAACCTATATTTATTATATTTAACATGTTTGTAGTTTGAAATTGCCATTTTGTACTCATTATCATGCATATACAAGGTTATAGGACCATAATAAGTAGGTGAAAATGGCTTAAATAGCTTCTACTTAACCATAATAAATATCATGCATATACTTTACTATACACTAATATTGTTTTATGATTGCTTTGACAGGCGCTTATATCTCATGGCAGACGAGTACGGTCCTCATTGTGTAGAGGACATTGACGATGATGAGTATGAGGACGAGTACGAAGATGAGGACGAGGACGATGATGATGAGCCTTATGATGTGAATAAGGAGGATGACTTGGGTGAGCCAAAGGATCAGACTCAAGATGAGTTCGAGCGTAGGCTTGACGATTTTGAAATTTCAGCTGAACGTACACCGCCTATTGTAAATACAACACGTGAGATTGTTGGTGAGAACCCGACTCCTGAAAGTCATGGCCAAGGACAAGATGAAAACAACACAGGTGGTGGAGGGGGGAAAAGGCATCGGCTCAAAGAAAAAGAAGGGGTCCGACGAGAAGCTTTAAGAAATCGAACGGTCCCATGGTCTTGGAGTATGACAACAACGACCAACTCGGGCCCAAATGGCGTCGACAATATGCTAATCAAGTTGGCATATGTTCGCGGAAAATCCCCATTACACTTGTAATGCGGCAAGTACCTCCGGGTTTGATTCAAACATTTTGGGATGCTACAAGGGTAAGTGTGTTTTTGGCACATTTAGACAATTTAAGATACATAATCTTATGGTTGTTACTAAATAGAAACTAATAATCGGTTTTAATTTGTGCTTGCAGAGGTTGTTTTCTATTCCTAATGATCCCGAGAAGAGAAGGGTGTTTGAATCTTTATTAGCGGAAAGATTCAGAGGCTTTAAGACCAATTTGACTAATGGGTGGATCTACAAGAATAAGAAGAAATCAAAGAAGAAGAATGCAGATGAGGATGACCGTCTCCCGTGGCAAATATGGCCGACCGTGTCAAAAGATGATTGGGAAGAGTTCGTTAGAATGAAGACTCAAAAGAAAGCCATTGTAAGTTTGTGTAAATCTGATCTCAATTGAATAATAGCTTGACACTTTTTGTAGCAATGATACTAACATTTTTAGTTTTGTAGGAACTTCGAGAGCAAAATAAAAAGAATGCAGAAAAGAAGGAATACGTCCATCGTTGGGTCCTAAGACTTTTGGTGAAAAGAGACCTGAGTGGGTCGGTTCGGGTTTATACCCTAAATCGCTTCTAGTGGCATCGAAGGAACCCTCTAGTTCCACGATCACTACATTGGTGAGTCGTGCCGGTGATTTCTTTTGTTCTCTCCATACGTTTGATAAGGAAACCGGAAAATGGGTCATCAAGGGTCCGGAAGCCAAAAAACTGGCAGATAAGCTTGTAAGTTACCTATGAATTGTTGAATTTAAGTCACTTTTGCATCTAAATCACTGTACAAACCATTAACTGTTAAACTGACCTCATTTTTCCATATGCTGTAGCTTGAGCACACTCAAGAGATGGTGGAGGGCAAATTTGAACCAAGTGTGGAGAATGACCCTTTCACCATGGATTTGGGAAGGCCATACTATCCAGGACGAGTAGTAGGTTCGGGAGGGTCATTGCTTGGATGGGAAAAGGTGATGGGTCCCGAATACACAAAATCGGGTAGATCTCGAGCCAGTGTTAACTCACCGGGGGAGTTGGATGCCAAGGTGGCATCAATTAAGGAACAAGTACGCAACGAGTTAGTTGGTGAATTGAATGTCTGGGCTGCAGCAGCCTAGGCAGGCTGCTGCCAATGCTGCAGCAGACATGGCAGCCACCTACCGTGGCTGCTACAGGCTTGGCAGGCGGCTGCCGGGGCTGCTGTGGCCTCGGCGCGGGCTGCCTTCGCTGTTCCGGAAGCGGGGGCGGCTCCCTCGAGTGTTCTCGTTTGGCAGAACTTGCATATTTTTTTTTAAAAAAATTTGAGCAATTTTATCAAAATAAAGCCATTTCGAGCCGAAATGGCTACTCACTTGCCTATTTTCTTCATTTCTCAATTTATAAACTCCTTGCATCTCAAAACAACTCATAATCACATATTTATAAGTGGTTGTCATTTGAAATTACATAAAAATCGCCAAGTTATAAGGTTTTGCGTTCAATTCATCAAAATAAAGCCATTTTGAGCCGAAATGGCTACTCACTTGCCTATTTTCTTCATTTCTCAACTAATAAACTTATACATTCTCAAACCATATCATAATTACATATTTATAAGTGATTTTGATTTGAAATTGCATAAAAGAAGCAAAGTTCTAATTTTTTTGGCGCATTTCATCAAAATAAAGCCATTTCGAGCCGAAATGGCTACTCACTTGCCTATTTTCTTCATTTCTCAACTTATAAACTCCTTGCATCTCAAAACAACTCATAATCACATATTTATAAGTGGTTTTCATTTGAAATTACATAAAAATCGCCAAGTTCTAAGGTTTTGGGTCCAATTCATAAAAAAAAGCCATTTTGAGCCGAAATGGCTACTCACTTGCCTATTTTCTTCATTTCTCAACTAATAAACTTATACATTCTCAAAACATATCATAATTACATATCTATAAGTGATTGTGAGTTGAAATTGCATAAAAGAAGCAAAGTTCTAATTTTTTTTGGCGCATTTCATCAAAATAAAGCCATTTCGAGCCGAAATGGCTACTCACTTGCCTATTTTCTTCAGTTCTCAACTTATAAACTCCTTGAATCTCAAAACAACTCATAATCACATATTTATAAGTGGTTGTCATTTGAAATTACATAAAAATCGCCAAGTTCTAAGGTTTTGCGTCCAATTCATCAAAATAAAGCCATTTTGAGCCGAAATGGCTACTCACTTGCCTATTTTCTTCATTTCTCAACTAATAAACTTATAAATTCTTAAATCATATCATAATTACATATGTAGAAGTGATTGTGAGTTGAAATTGCATAAAAGAAGCAAAGTTCTAATTTTTTTGGGCCCATTTCATCAAAATAAAGCCATTTTCTTCATTTCTCAACTTATAAACTTATTCTTTCTCAAACTATTTCAGATTTCGAATGGAAGAAAAACTTCAAAGAGAAAGAGGATGGAGAAGCCTAAAAGAATTGATCAACCTAAGAAGAAGCGAAGTGAACAACGGTCCAAGAGTGAACAAGCGTCGAAGTAGCACTCTTCGAAAGGTTCACCCATGCTACCTACTCCACTTGTTGAAGACATTGTTCTTCAATCGCTCTCTGCTGACATGACCTTTCTTCACAACCGTGCTTGTCATTTGGTCGATCCCATGGAAGTTTCACTTCCTAAGGCAATGTTCCACTATGATGAGGATGCAGTTGCATGGATCAGCAAAGAAGATGTGAAGGAATTTCTACGTGGTGCAAAGCTTAACATTTCCCTCATTCAAACATTCATGAGGTACTTCAATGCCCACATAATCTATACTTTTTTCAAGTTATTCAAATTGATGGTGATTATCCTACATCTGATTAATTATTCAATGTTCATGCACGCAGAGCACTACAGGAGCACTTAACTGACACTGATTCTCCTTGTAAAGTTGGGTGGTTATGCCCCGAGCAGTTATCCACTACTAGAATCATAGGCAACCCCCATGACGTGTTGTACTATGTTGAACAGAGTATCAGGGAATCAGCGCGTGCGGGAGACAAGTTCATACTCGCCCCATGTTATAGAGAGTAAGTCTAACCATGTCAAATTCAATCGATTTGGCCTCATTATATGTTGACTCCTAAATATTAATTTGCTTGTCTATTGTGAACTTATGTAGGGAGCATTGGAGCCTCATGGTGATTTGTAATTCCACTAACACAATTTATCACCTTGATTCAGCTCGATCATCGGAGAAGTGGCTCGTGAAGTCTATATTGCAAAAGTAAATATATATATAGCAACCTAGTGATGATTATTGCTAATAATAACTAATTTAGTAATCATACGACTAATCAAATTTGAATGTACTTTTTTTTACTACAGTGTTATGAAGAAGCTACATTGTCGTGCTCCAAAGGGTCCAACATGGAAGTCACGGTTGGTAATTTACATGATATTGTGATTATCTTGAAAATCTATGTTAGTAAATATTTGCTCATTTCCTTTGCATGTTTCACTAATGTGATTTGTTTGTCATATGCTAGTACGCACAACAAGAGAATGGACTTGATTGTGCTTTGTATGTGATGAGATTCATGCTTGACATTGTGACTCATTGTACGGACACTCAACAGCGAGGTAAGTCCTAAAACTTATTGAAATGCTATATTAATGTGATTTCTAGCCTTAGACACCTAATATTACCCAACAATGGCATGTTATGAGAAACAAAAAGGCCATTTCACAAGAAAGGTAGAAAATGGGCTGAATAGAAGTCACATGGGCCATATTTGGGACATTTTGTGTTAATATGCTCTTTTGATGTGATTTCTTTCCTTATACACCTATGACTAGATAATATTGACATGTTATGAGATAAATAAAGTTCATTTAATAAGAAATGTAGGAAATGGACAAAGTAAAGTCATATAGGCCAATTTCGGGCCATTTTGAGTAAAAAGCGTCATAAACCTTAATAAAATGCTCTCCTATACAATTTTAGGGCTTACACACATACAACTACCCAACATTGACATGTTATGAGAAAGAAATAGTTCATTTGATAAGTAATGTAGAAAATGGGCTACATAGAAGTCATATAGGCCATATTTGGGTCATGTTGAGTAAAATGCGTTGTTAAACTTATTGAAATACTATATTGATGTGATTTCTAGCCTTAGACACCTAATATTACCCAACAATGACATGTTATGAGAAATAAAAAGGCCATTTCACAAGAAAGGTAGAAAATGGGCTGAATAGAAGTCATATGGGCCATATTAGGGCCATTTTGTGTTAATATGCTCTTTTGATGTGATTTCTTTCCTTATACACCTATAACTAGATAACATTGACATGTTATGAGATAAATTAAGTTCATTTAATAAGAAATGTAGGAAATGGGCAAAGTAAAGTCATATAGGCCATATTAGGGCCATTTTGAGTAAAAAGCGTCATAAACCTTGATAAAATGCTCTCCTATACAATTTTAGGGCTTACAAACATTCAACTACCCAAAATTGACATGTTATGAGAAAGAAATAGTTCATTTGATAAGTAATGTAGAAAATGGGCTACATAGAAGTCATATAGGCCATATTTGGGTCATGTTGAGTAAAATGCGTTGTTAAACTTATTGAAATACTATATTGATGTGATTTCTAGCCTTAGACACCTAATATTACCCAACAATGACATGTTATGAGAAATAAAAAGGCCATTTCACAAGAAAGGTAGAAAATGGGCTGAATAGAAGTCATATGGGCCATATTAGGGCCATTTTGTGTTAATATGCTCTTTTGATGTGATTTCTTTCCTTATACACCTATAACTAGATAACATTGACATGTTATGAGATAAATTAAGTTCATTTAATAAGAAATGTAGGAAATGGGCAAAGTAAAGTCATATAGGCCATATTCGGGCCATTTTGAGTAAAAAGTGTCATAAACCTTAATAAAATGCTCTCCTATACAATTTTAGGGCTTACACACATACAACTACCCAACATTGACATGTTATGAGAAAGAAATAGTTCATTTGATAAGTAATGTAGGAAATGGGCTACATAGAAGTCATATAGGTAATATTTGATAAAATACATATTGTTTTGCCTAATTAATTAATTTTAACATAATGTTTTTGTATTTCAAGTTTTGCAAGGTCCAAAAGGATGGTGCGTTGAAAATCAAGGAGCTTAATGAAGTTCGTGACATGTTGGCGTCTTTTATCACCTTCAACATGTAAATGGCATTGTAATTGTAAATTATTTATGTTAACGTTTGAACTATACAACTTATTATTCATTATATATTTACTTACTATTATTTGTATATGTAAGCAACTTTTTTTTGTATTGCGTTTGGGATTATTTATATCTATATATATAATTGAATTCTTATTTTTAATATTATTTTTGTATCTTATTGTAATAATTAATAATATTATTATTATTAGTTATTATAATAATAATATTATTAATTATTATATTTAATATAATTGCTGGAATTACAAGTTATTATTATTGCTGGAAACAGGTTTTTTTTTTAAATATTATTGCACGAAGATTGGAAAAAAAAAAATTTAGTGAATAGGCACCGGTTAGGCACCAACCGGTGCCTAAAATAGCTACCACCAAAAAAAAAATTGGCGGGAGAGCAGTTAAAGGCACTGGTTAACCGGTGCCTTATTGGGCATATAGCACCGGTTAACCGGTGCCTAATTGACCCTATGGCACCGGTTTTGAACCGGTGCCAAAAAGTGGGTTTTTGGCACACCCCACATAGGCAGCGGTTCAAACCGGTGCCTTAGACCGGGTTTGAACCACTGCCAAAGCCCTTTTTTCACCTAGTGTAGGTTCCGATGATGACAGTGAGGGTTCGAATCTGGCAGATCTGGGCAACAAAGCTAAGTTACCCACTGAAAAAGGTACTATTGTACCTGTTGTGAAGGATGAAGATGCTGAGTCCCCTATTGCAGCTAATCGTTCCGAGTCCCTTGAAAAGGAGGCTGGAGGTAAGGAAATTGTCCCTGAGAAGACCGATCTTGTTCTTTCCGGCAAGAAAATTAGGAGTTCTGGCTTCTTTTGGGGTCGACGAAGGTGATTTTGGGGAGGACAACAACCCTCCCAACTTCGGCTCGAACTAATGCAGCAGCGTAACACTTTTCTTACCCTTCATTGTTAAAATTAATTGCTACTTAATACTGTTTAGTTGTGGATCTATTTCAATGTTGTCATATCTGCCTTATTGGTGACAATTGTTGGTTGATGTTTGTAATTCATGTCTAGGGTTGAATAATTATTCTTGTTGTTATTAAATGCTGCAATTTCTTCATGATTTGTGGTTTATTGTTGTGTAATTGTGGGCTACATGTGATTATTTGTGACCTTTACATGGTGCAATTAACTTTGTTTGATTACTTTGAGTCCCTGATTTGCTTGGTGGATGTATTGTTTACACTGTATGTGTTAGGGTTTGGCTGACTTTGTTGGTAACTGTAATTACATTGGTGATTTGAGCCTAATGTTGGATATTCAACCTAATGTTGGATTATTTGTACCCTATAATCAACCTAATGTTGGATATTCAACCTAATGTTGGATTATTTGTTGGCTTTTGTTTGGAATTTGTTGGCTGTTTATGATAACTTATGTCTACAATTGATAAAATCTGAGTGTGGGACATTTGTTGCCTTATGTTTGATATGTGGTTGCTATATTCAGGGCATACTTTGTAGTCTTATGTTTATACTCCATTTGCTATATTTGAGGGAATATGAACTAATGGTTACTGTAGGCGTCGTTTGAAGTGCGCCTACGTTAAAAGCATGTTGTGAATACGCTTGGCACTCATAGGAATTAGGAATTGACATAATACGATTAGGGACAAGGAAAATAGGGAGCCGCCAACAAGTTTTTAAGGAACTTGTAAACCGTTCACGGATCATAAAAGCCAACCACGAATAAGGGACAACGAAGGAAACAACGATTGGCCCGTGAAGGTTACACCCCATTCATAATCCATGAGATTACTAACTCCATATGGTTCGGAACCACGAAAGGAGGATCGGGGATGATGGTACGAAGTGAGTCATGGAGTCACATTCGCCCGTATTGGCTCTACTCGATTCTTATAGTGAAAAGTGATTCCTGCGATCTCAAAGGCATACAAACAAAATATTCAATTTGCTCCAAACTATTATTAAGCTAAATTGGTTTAATATTAATGCAACTCATAATTCTAAAATATCATGATCACTTGAATTAAATAACAAGATTAAAAGGAACCTAAACCGGTTGTCCAAATTATCTTATTAGGCGTGATTTTCAATTACATATTCCCTTTAAACATGCAATATGGTGATCATAATAAAAATAGTAGAACAACATTAATATTAAAACCAAATTAATCACAATTCCAACAACATAAAATCGTTAGAAAAATAATAAAAATAAAAGGAGCATGATCCTTACTTTGATTCTGTATGTTTGCAACTACAAAATAATAAACGAGTTAGTAACTTCAAGGAAATAATAAAACGATGATTAAATTAAATTAAATAAAGTAAAGTTGATTTTGGGGCCAAACCCTCAAACAATTCTACCTTTCACGCCTTGGCTTAAGGATAGAATCACGAGTAAAGTATGGACTCCTTTGAGTACTTGAAGAAGGAATTTTGAAGTAAAAAGGGTAGGCTAGTGTTTAAGCTAAAGCATAGAAGAGAGGAGAATAAAATTAGAGAATTACTCGGTGTCCCGTACATCAGAAATGAGGGGGTATTTATAGGGAAAATGTGCTGAGGGAGCACACGGAACCCTAAAATGATAAAAACCCTAAATACGTATCCCGTTACACGGTCAAACTGTACCGTGACATGGGAAGTTCCACCGTCAGACGGTACACTTTCCCATGACACGGTACATTTTTGGTGTGACGCGGGAAATTTTCAGAAAACGGGATAAAAAACACGTTAAGGGTTTACGCGGAAAAGACACGGAATGTCCTGTGTCACGGCAGACCTCCCGTGTCATGGGAAATCCCACCGTCAGACGGGAAGGATTCCTTTGACACGGTAGGTACCTGCCGTGGCGCGGGAAATTCTAGTCTGTTTTATCGTCTAAATACATTTTTAACCCTAATTTCCTTCGGCATTTTAAGTGCCGATTGATAATTTCGGGCCTTTTCTGACTTTTTATTATTCGGGCTAAAATAAGAAAATAATTAAATATAAATAAATAAAGGGTTTGGGCCAAAAATAAATAATAAAACAATAAAATAAAAAAGGTTTGGGCTAAAAATTAATTAATAAGTTTGGGCTAAAATTAAAACTATGCTTTTACTAAACATCAAGACTAATCCATGGACTGTTCAAAAATATGAATTTAATAAAATACGATTTTTTAAGCACTCTTGGGATTAAATACTAAACCCGACCAATAGTGGCGGTGAAAGGTTGTTCATCATCGGGTTTGGTTTCGGGGAGACATTTTTAGGTGTCTACAGTTACTAGGTTATTGTTTGGTAGTTGGTAATTGGATGATTAGATTTAGTTGAAATTTCAATTGTTTAATTCAAATATTTGAGGGTACTGGGTTTTCTGTTGTTCATATCTGGGTTGTACTTCTGCTGTGAGTTGTGGTGTTTCCTGCCTGGCTTAAGGTTGGTCATTACTGTGTATGGCTTTGGGAATTGTGATATGATGAATGATGATATAATGAATTTGTACCCTATTGTACTAGGTATTAGATGTTCCTGCAGTTCAGTCCCTTATTGTTGGAGTCCCTATTTTGTTCTCAATGACTATGTTAAGAGAGAACAATGCTGTAGCCTATATTAATGTCTTCCCTTCATGAGTCCCTTCAAGATGAGGTGTGTGGTCCTACTTGATATATGAGTCCCTTAATTTAGTGTGTATAAGTGTGTGTGCAAAATCCAAATGATGAAGGGACTCATTTGACTCAACAAAATTCATAACTTGGAATAGCTCCAACTACTTCAATTGGAAGTTGCTGTTGAGGGAACCAGTTATGCAATTAATGTGATAAAGATACACCCTCTGATGGATTTATTTTTGTGTATGTATGTGTATCACAGTGGCAGTCATAATGTGTTCATCAAATGCACATAAAACAACCATGATTAATATCATTAACTTGTTCAAAAGGTTTAACATGTTCAAAAGGAGCTAGCTAAGACTGCCTCACAATATATGGCCTAGAGTTTAACAAAATACACATAACCAATGATTGTCAAACAATTGTTAAACCAAAAACACAATAGACAACCTACTATTTTACCATTTACTTGAATGCTCTTCATGGGTTATGTGTGGCAGTCTCACTGTCACTCTGTTTCTGTTTCTGAGATGTGGTCAGTCTGCATCAACTTGCATGTCTTCATCCTCTGCATTCCCTTCACTAGTTGAAATGAATAAAGTGTTGAGATAATCAACAGCTTGTTGAACCAAATTTGCTTCCACCTCTAGTTGTTCTGGCAGCAAGCCAAGTCTTTCCAGCCTCTTCTTTCCTTTATGTGGTGGGGTGAAATTATTCCCACCTAGATGCCTGAGAATATCTTCCATGCAACATTGTAGTGTTATCCAACTGTACTTGTTTAACACTGGATTAAACAAGTCATAAGCCTCTTTCACCTTATCTATGAGTTCCCCCAAGTTCTTTGGAAATGATTGGTATTGTACTGTATGGACTGTATGACATTGAATAACCCTAAGTCCAGCACATTCAAGTCAGGTGATTGTGCTGGCTGGTAGATGAACTGAATGTTGAACCCATCTGACTGACATGCAGAAATGAATTCCTCATCCTTGGGAATCTGATGGGGTCTGGCATTATCCCACTGAATCCATATGTCCTTTGGCTTATGTGGTGGCCATTTCTCTTTGATTGCTGGAATGACATTGTTGATAAGCATTGCCCTGATTGCCTCCTTGTTTACATTTTGAGTTGCCTTAATTTCAACAGCCCCTGCTTCTCTGTTCTTACTTCTTTCTTTGCAATGTTCTCATACACAAATGGAAAGATTCCATACTTTCCATCATGTAGCACATGTCCATGGCTGTCAAAAATAGGCTTGCTAATGGCTGCCATGAATATTCCTTTAACCTTGAATCTTCTGGACTGTTGGCACCTATATGGGTTTGGTTCATTAGGCAGCAGGTAAAACCTTCTTGTTTCGGGGTTCAAGTAGAACCACTTTTCATCTATGTGTATGACTTCCTGCATGTCTTCAAACTTTGGATTACCATTCTGCTCAGCAGGCAGCAAATGACTTAAAACCCATTTCAGTCTTGCTATTTTGTGGTTGGATGTCAGAGCTGGGTGGTTTGTACTTGTATGTGTTCTTAGCCTTCCTTTTTTCTTCAACTTGTGAATGGTAACATGTGAGATATTCAGAGCAGCTCCATAGCTTCTCTCAGTTGTCCTTTTGTACAAAGGGACTGACTGCAGAAACTCATCAGTGTACTCTGTGGGTCTTGGTCCAGTTTTGCCAAGCCTTTTGTTTCTGACATCTATCACATTCCCTTGAGCCATTTGTTTCTTAATTTTTGTGAATAGCCTAAGTGTTGTTGATCTGTGAATGTTAAAATTTATTGCTATTTGTGATAGAAAGCCTCGTGGAAAATCCTCCCCATCTAACTTCAAAAGAATAGCATCAACCATCTCCCTTTTTTGCATAACAGTTAATTGCTTTCTGCTTTTAGGTTGCTGTTGTGGTTCTTCATGAATCTGATTTTTATTAATCTCATCACTTTCTTCACTTGTTCTTGATTGATTGTCTTCCATATTTGCTTCATCATTTAACAATGCATCTATGCTGAAAAAGTCCTCGTCGAATAATTCTGCCATACTTTTAAATGTTTGAGCTGTTGTTGTTACAGATTTGAGGATTGGTGATGAAGTGGGGGTTGCTGTTTTTTTTTTTTGAAGTGCTCAAGCTGAACCAGACTTAGCTTTGAAGAAGAAGGATGCTGCTACTAACCTTGCATTAATTACTAATTGAAGGGTAGCTTAGTGTTGACTTTTGTAATGAAAACATGGTGTAATTTGGTTAGGTTTGATGTATTGGGTTGTATGAATATTTTGAACTTAAAAGACTGTCTGCATGTTTATATACTCTCCCTTGAATGACAATTTCAAGTGGAGGGAAAAATTTGGTGTGAAAAAGTGCAAACTTTTCAAAGTGGCTGAAATTTTAGGTGGGAAAAATGAAACCCACAAAATTTCAGTTTCTCTCTCCTTCTTTTGTAAAAATCCGGGTCCCCCTTTCCCTCCCTTTTTATCAATTAATCACATGTCCTCTTTTCAATTATTCTCTTCTAAACACTCCTTAAAAGTTTTGCCTAGGAGTCCGCGCGTAGTGCCTTTGTTGCACATAACTGTTAATGGAGGTGGTATTTTATGTGAAGCGTGGTCGAAGGTCCAACTCGTTTACTACGTGCACACAACTTAAGCTCACATAGTCACATGCTATAGTGCTGTGTTTTCTCTTTTTTGTTTTTTTAAACAATCATTGTGGTTTTGTGTCTAGCCAAAAATTTAGTTATTTTAGCTCGTTACGTCTTGTTAAACAATGTTTTATTTAAAGGAAGAAAAAAAGATTTCCTCCATAAAAGATATTCAATTGACACTTTTAAACGATTCATAAGAAATCGAAAATTACAAAGTAAGTACTTCCTCTGTTTTTAATTAAATACATCACTTTCTATGTATGGATGTTTCAATAAGATGCAATACTTTCTCTTTTGGTCAATAAATTCTCTCTCATATCGCATGAGCCCTATTTATTTTTTCTCTCTATCTCTTTCTACTTTAAAATTTTCCTACGAGTCCGTAATTTCAAATATGACACATCTAATAAAAAACGGAGGAAGTATATAACACATTAGACTAATTATATCGCAAATTTGTGTTGTACAACCAAGTTAACATTTTACAAAAAATAAAAATAAATAAAAATAAATAAAAAAAACTATGCTCAAAATGTGCTCCTAATAACATTTATGTGCCACATGTAGGCCCTTTTCTTTAGAGCTGAGGTGCTCTGCTCTGCTCTGTTCTACTCTGCTCTGTACTGTTCTTCTTTGCTCTGCTGAAATATGCTCTGCTCTACTCCATAGTGTGTGGAAGCCTAGCCTTGCTCTACTCTGCTCTGCCCTGCTGAAATCTGCTCTGCTCTGTAGTGTATGGAAGCCTAGCCTGGCCTTGCTATGCTCTACTCTGCTGAAATCTGCTCTGCTCTGTCCTGCTCTACTCTACCCAGAAGCTCAAAAGAACAGGGCCGTAGTCTTCTTGCAATACATCCATGACATCAAAACGCATAGATGGAGTTTTGAAAGCCTTTTCGATCCTCAATGCATCTCTTGCGCCTAATTGGGCGCGGGATAGGGTGAGAAGCATCTTCTTTGGTCATCCGCCCCGCCCGCCGGGACGCGCCTTCGGGCGAGGCCTCATTTGGACGGGTGAAACCTTGGGCTCTTCTTTGGACTTTCGTTTGGGCTATTATCTTGGCCCAAACGCTAGTTTCCTCCTTGGGGCTTAAATCACTCGGTCCATAACCTCGGGCTTCTCATATGTTGAGCCCTTAATCACCGGTTTGATGACTCCAACCGGCCCTGGGCTAGAAAAGATGGTCGTGCTCCTCCAATGCTCGTAGTTGCTCCAAATAGTCTCGGAAAAATGTTCCAAAAGTGCAATTTTCTACAAAATGCTACCAAAACTACGAAAACACTAGAAAGCACATATTAGCAATAAAAGTGGCTCTAAAGAGCAAAAAATTCTCCTAATTATGACCGAGGGACGGAGGTAAATCACTATATAAAATAGACATATCAAAAGGCATTTTGAACATCCATCTGATGAAGCTCCCAATTTTTAAAAGTAGCTATAGCAAGAAAAGCACGAACTGTATTCATTTTTGCAACCGGAGCGAAAGTCTCACCATAATTTATACCTTCTTGATGATTGCCAAAGACAACCAAACGAGACTTGAGACATTCAATATCACCATTAGACAGAAATTTCGTCTTGTATACCCATTGACTACCTAGAGCCTTTTTGCCGAGGGAAGGTGCTCTAAGGTTCAGGTCTCATTGTCTTTTAACGCTTTTATTTCTTCTTCCATAGATCGTCAACAACCCTTATATTTCATGGCCTCTTTAAAGGATCTTGGATCCTTTCCTTGAACAAGTGCTGCAAAGAAATTTGCGATAATTCTCACAAAGAACATGTCACAATTTATATAATGCGCTAAAGGATAAGGCGTATCTGAAGGAGGGATTGGAGACACTGGGAATGGAGACGAATTATTAGCAAAAACGGAATATGTCACTGTAGGCGTTGTTTGAAGTGGGCCTACGTTAAGCACGTGATGTGAATATGCTTGGTACTCTTAGGAAGTGGGAAATGACATATACAATTAGGGATAAGGATAGTAGGGAGCCGCCAATAAGTTTTTAAGAAACTTTTAAACCGTTCGCGGATCATAAAAGGCAACCACGATAAAGGGACAACGGAAGGTATGATTATGTGTCTTGTATTGGTGGATACTAGTTTGTGTCTCCCTTAAAACCAAACCCAGTGATGAGTACCTTTCACGTCATTGATTATCGAACTAAGTGAAATGTGAAAGAGTCTTGCGATTCCCCTGTTTTAATTAAAAATATTTCTTTCTGTTTTCAAAAATATTTCTTTTCGTACTCTATTTATGAAAAATATCCAATCCAATTTAGTTTGGTCAATGATATGAGTCCAATAATTGTGTATTTGGACGAAGCTCGAAAAGAGATTTCGACCGGTATATTATAAGGTCAATTTTGATGAATAATTAGGAAGTTATGACCGAAATACTAAATTGGATCTTAAATGAATTTTAAAGGCGACCCAATGATCAAGTGAAGGATCCATTAATTATCATTCCTAAAGTCATTAGGAATTAATTTAATTTTCTAGAATAGTCTAGAAGGTTATTTTAAGTTCTAAAGATATTAGGATTAATAATTATATATATTTTTATATATTTTAGAAAAGTTAAAGAAATTTTAGTCGAAATAAAACGAATGCTTTAAAGAGATTTAATATGATTTTAATGATAAAGTACAGACTTTAAGTACCTAATTTTATTGGAAAAAGGACTTCGTACGACAAATTTTATCATGCAGCACCATCGCACTGCGACAAGTTCATCACGTCACGCTGTGATGGGAGCAGTTTTACTTCGATTGGAATTTCATTTTTTGATCGTTTTCAGATGTTTTTCTATATAAATAGGGTCGTATCTCCCCGTTTTCAATAAGCAACAATCATCATCTATTCTCTTTCGCTCTCAAAACTAAAAGCTTATTCTTTCTCGCTCTTTCTAAACCTTGCCCTTTCAAAACACATACGACTTCGCCCTATTAGATGGGTGAATCAAGAAAATTTGATAAGAATAAAAACTTAAACTAAACAAACTAGTACTTTAAGTCTACAATGCATGATATTTGATGGTTGAAATACTAGTATATGGATTTTGACTTTAATGCATGCATTGCGTGCATCGGAAACTAAGCTAGTATACAAACCCCAACCTCTATAATATTTATGTAGTATAGTATATTGCTTTTGCATCTGTGATCTTTAAATTGATGGATTACACTTTGAAGCAACCATTTCCTACTCAATTGGTATTTTTTCCTCTTGAAGTTAATCACTTGTCAGTTGTCACGGGGTTATTTGCAACGAACATTACTTGTAGTCAGACCCGTTTATGAGATTTCGGTGGCATGGGGCAAAAACATAAATCGGGGTCCTAATTCACATAAACTATATAATTTTTTTTTTAAAATTGGGTATGCAAAATTTTATTATGTTCAATAATATTTAAAAACATCAAATTTCATAAAACATTGAAATTACATTCTCAAGTATCCAACCCATCCATTAGATTTTTTTAATACAATGAAAAATATAATTTAATACAAAGAAGAGATCTTGATGAATAAAGTCGTGTATGCACCGTTCAAAAAAAAAGTAGGGTATGCAAAGAGAATGGTATGTAATTAGATTAATCACGTTGAAAATTTAATAGTAAAATGATCGTTTATTATAGTTTACATCTTCAATTGAATTGCGAAAGAGAAAGAATTTAACTAACTGAAAATTGTAATGAAATACATTTTGAAAAATAAAATTACCGGGATACAATTAAAATTAATGACTTTTTTTTTGTTAATCAAATTCACTTGGGAAAGTGAATAAGTTGGGCAAAAAATTAGGGATGAAATACATTTACCAAAAATGCCATTTGATATTTTGGAGTACTACATTACTATTGTAGTGTTGTACAGTACACACTTCTTGCTTTCTTTCTTTCTCTTTTTTTTGGTTAAATATATATATACGTAATATTATTTAGTATGAAGTATATTTATTTGGGCCTTGTATTGTATTGAAACTGGGCTTTTTAACTAGGGGCCCAGGGCAGCCGCCCCAACTGCCCTCCCCTTGCTACGGCCCTGCTTGTAGTGACGAGTAAGGAGTAGCCTCTTGCATTAGCTTAATTACATTGTTTTTATCTTGTTATTTAAAGTAATGAATGAACAGAAAGCAAGCATATTAAAATTGCAACAAATTCCAAGTCAAAAGAATAAATATAGATCATATTTGAATTCATTGAATATGATCATCCTGATAACAGGTTGAATATATATCCAAAACAATCCTACATACTGCTAGAGTTCATCAGAGAATCTCTACAACACTAGCTGGTAGGGGACTAGACGGGGCATATTTCGTTGCTAAATTTGATCCACTAGGCTCTTTAGTGCTGCATCCGAAAGCAGTTTTGTTGACAACATAAGGAGATGCAGCGGTTACCCTGTGAAACAAACATGTCAATTGTAAGCATGTATTACAGTGCATCAAAAACTTGTTACAAAAATGTTTCTAAATTGATATCTTGATCTTTGAAATATAAGTTTGAAGTTAACTATCATGTATCAAGCTAAATATTAGAACACTAGTTTGTTGACTTCAATTCCTATCATTCTATGGTAATCAGGATACTTGTCAAAGTCGCGAACCTATGATTTTAAGAATAGAGTATGGCAAGACTGCTAGTAAGAAATTATGCAGCCATGGACTGTAGAGTGTAGACCAATGTGACCAAGTCACAAAACTTGGAGGTTCCACATAAACTGACTTTTACAAGTTCAGATTATTGTTACAACTTCAAGGAACGTATATGTACAAGGGAACATCCCTCAGACCCTGCCAATCATACCATATTCCAGGCAGGGCTTTGCTCTCTTCTTCATGCCATATAACTTATTAGTGGAGTTATATATAGAGAGTTTGATTGATATAAAATAAAGCGATTTTCCAACATACTAATATTGTGCACTGCAACACAAGACTATATTGGTAGATTTCTTCCTCATATTTCCTTTTTTCAGATAGCTTTTGAAGCTGTTTTCACCTTAGAAGGTGGTATCTTTGGACATAATCCTCCAGGAGTCCAGGATCCTCACTTATGAAGTGTAAATGTGGCATATTATCCATCTTTCTGCTACAAACTCAATAGGAGTCAACACCAACAAAGGCGTTCACTTTGCTATACAATAATACAGAATCCTACAGGTTAGATTACGCTTTCCAGGACAAGTCAAGAAGACAAGCGTGGAAAGGGCAGAAGTTTTTGAAAGCTTTAGGCCATACTCCTATACATTTAGATCTTAAAGGGAATATATACTACTTGGTAAAGAACAAACTGCAGTAAGGATTATAAATTTATAACCACATTTTGCATCTGATGCAGGACTATATCAGAATTTGCTACACCTTTCACAGATTAGAGCATCAACTTCAGAGAAAATATATTCTCTTATTAAAAGAAGTGCTCACCTCTCTTTTCGTTTCTCCAAGAATCTTGTAAGAGATGCTTTCCGAGCCTGAGGCACAGCTGCAGTAATTCACAATTTATGTAACTAGTTAGAAACTTAATCTTTATATCAAGATGAAATGAACTGTTGTAAATATCAAAAGTCTGATACTGAAATACAGTAATTGTAAGCCACAACAATGTGATAGAGAAATTATCCACAGGAATTGATTATTTGATTGAGAATATACCTGATAAAACTGATTTTACACCAGCTCCGACAGAGGCACCTGATTTAGGAGGCTCAGGGCACTTAACATGAGCAGGAGGGGCCATAACAGGTTTAATTGCAGTTGACATAACTGGTTTAATTGGATTCGCTTCAACTGCACAACTAGTTGCTACTACAGGAAGAGAACTGATAGAAGGGGGCAAAGAAATGGGGCTTAAGAGTCCTGCTAACTGATTTGGAATAGCAGTATCGTTTGTTGGCGGTCTTTGCATTGGCACTGGTAGCTGCACTTTAGGTAGAGACGGGATTGCAGCAGGCGAGGAAGTTGGATTTTTTGATTCACCATTCCCTGCTAATAACATTATGGCTTGAGCCTGATTAAAGACACAGAATGTCAGAAATAGCAGGAAGACGAAACTGATGAGATTGAGTAAACAGAATAAATAATACCTTCTCAGGAGAAACGTTATCATAGACACAAACTGATCCATTATAGAACAGGGTCAACTGACAGGAACCGATAGCAATACTCGGAGAACTCCTGCAAAACACATTATTAGGCACTTATTTCCTATGAAAAAAAAAACTGTAATAAGATGCAGTAATACAAAACAGACTTCCATAACTCGGAGAACTCATGCAGAACACATTATTAGGCACTTATTTCCTATGAAAAAAAGCTGTAATAAGATGCATTAGTGCAAAACAGACTTCCATAACTTACTTCAGATCAGTAGAGCCAACGACAGGACCGTTTGGAGGCGTAACAGAAATATTTGTCACGGTACCAGAACCTATTGTGGCGGGAACGATTTGATTTGATTGACCAGTAACAGGATGGATTCTGACTTCAGAGGACTGATTTAATGAAAGTACATCTTTAGGCTGCCAATGATGATGACCTGTAATAGGATATTGACTTCCCCCTTGAATATCCAATCCCAACTTTCTCTGCAAAAACACATCTTACAGCATCAGATAACTGTCTATCTGAAATGACATATTTTTCTGTTACATACATACGATATATATCAACATCAACGTTACCCCAATGCCTCTAAAGGGACTCGTGCCACGACCGGTGTTAAGGGACAAACCTGTGAAAAGGCGGTAGGTGGGTATTGCTTATGAGCTCCATCTTGATCTTGAGCAGACTTAAAGGAAAGAAATTGGGAAGTTGAGAAAGACCATTGCAAATTAGATTTTCTCATTGTTACTTAGCTTGCAAAAAAATCACAAAAACAGGATATATTATTTCTCCTTGAATAAATTTCATACACATTAATTCAGCTTCAACTCCTGTAATTAGAAGCTAAAAACTATATGTATATATGCTTAAAAAGCACCAGATTCATTGATGGCCCCCTTAAACACAAAAGAATAAGCCAAGTTTATGGAATATGTAATTAATTTTATAAAACAAAGTCATATTATTGCTGTGAAATATATTATAAACTCAAACAATGGGGAATCAAGAAATCAATCCATAATATTAAAATAAGGAGCATTAACCATGTATTAATAAGTACATTATACAACCATGCATCCGACTAATAAGCATCCAATGCACTCTATTCTATGTGCTATAAATTAAACATTTTAATAATAAAGATAGGAATAAAATAATAATCCATGATCTAGTAATGTGTACGAATAAAAGAGAATCATATAAACGAGAAGCTTCATTCATTCATTGACTAGATGAACGAGTTGAAATGGTGAAAAATGAGCTGTAATTCAAAAAAGTCAGTTTAATTAACTCATATTGTAATGCACATTGTACAGTACTACACATCTGATCTCTGCAAAGGTCCACGTGATGCACGACTTTGAAAGTTTTCTAATCATCTTTTCAATTAATTCATAGGTCATAGGACCAAGTTTTATTATTGTGTTTAGTATATTAATTTTTAGTTCAGCCGGTCTTGGGTAGTTGGGTGTGTGACATTATTTGTAATAACACATTACACAAGTACACAACCATTTCCGGATTCCGTCCCTCGACAGCTAATTGTTACTCCTTTTGATTTCTGTAAGTGACGTGCTAGCACTTTTCATACAGGTAAATGTAAATAGATCCATTCAAACAAAAGTTTAAGCTAGTGGTTAAAACCTGAATTGATTTATGCGTTGTCCCTTCACATGAGTATACGTTGGGTTTAAAATGTGGATATCGTTTGGAACTCCATACCAAGCGCGGGAGAGGTGGATGAGTTTGAACTTTGATTTTTTATCGTGCTAGCTCTAATACCATGTTAATGGATCAACTCAACCAAAAATGTAAGCTAAATATTGAAACTCAAGGTTGGTTTATATACTCTATTAGTCGAGAGTTTGAGACTGTATCATTTCAAATACAATTCACGCAGGTGGTCACTACAAGTGTATGTAGGTAAATGTTTTCGACCATGAATTGATGTTAAAAATAGATTAAAATTTGATATTATGAAGATATACTTTTGACAAATCTAATAACAACATATTTTATGATAAAAATAATTTTTTTATATATGAGTAAATTAACTAAATTATGAGTAAAAGTCAAAACTAATGAGTAAAAGTGCAAAACAAAGAAAGCTAGTGTGTTTTTTAACTCATGTGTCTTAGTGATCTTACATATTGTCTAGAGTATTACATGCACCTACAAAGTTGATGCATAATATGTAACCATTTACCACGTACAACAATCCCATTCCCAAAATGAAAGAGTGATAGACAGACCAAGTAAGATTTTGCTTATGGAGATTTAAGGTTCGAATCCTCTCATATGAGACTAATTGAAGGCGAAGACACCTCTCATTCCTTGCACTTCCAAATATCTAACACTCAAACACTGAAACAAGAAATTGTAAGGATTGCAATTTGTTATAATGGTCCTCACCATTTTAGTGTTTTTAAAAAAAATGTACGTAGTAAAATATTACTTCGTACTTGATTTACCCGTAAAAGTATCCATCTCAAAATCTTTCCTATAATCTTTTTGATTAATAAATATTAAGGTAGAACTTCCAATGAACAGTGTTCATCGAGCCACGCTGTATCTAATTAAAAGTACAATTCTTTTTAATGGATATAATTTTAAAATTGTTAAATAAAATATAATACAAACCCCATGTGCATGTGGCATAACTCCACCAAATTAAGATATCACCTAACATGCTTAAACACCTAATTAGTGAATCAGTCGTTTTTAGTTTTCTATTTTTTTTACAGGAATTCGTATTAATAATTGCCCAAGTATACATCAAAACAGCAAATTTACAATTTAAAATTAATAATCATTGACAAAAACAAAATGGTGCAGTGAAGGGCCCGAAGGGCGATTGCAATCTCTTTTAAATAATTCTCATTCAAATGGTACATCAATTAAATAAAATAAAATCCCCTTAAATAAATAATTGCTAAGTACATCAACCAAATAAAATAGAAATCCCTCAATAAAATCAAAGTAATAAAATAGAATTGACCAAAAGAATCTTGAAGTTCTTTAAGCCGGCAAGCAAATTAATAATCTGAGTAATTGTTTAAAATGAGTAATTTTTTTATAAGGTAAGGCATGAAAAATTGTTTGGTGAAAATGTTATACTATCTTAATTTTATAAAACTTGTGCTCCCTCCGTTTCTAAATTACAGGAGAACCTCTGGCGCATAGTTCCTATGGATTAAGAAATCCATAGGATGGCAAAAGTGTTAATAAATAGAAGTTGAAGGTGGGGCCTTGTATAGTTGGCATGGAAAAGCATAACGGGGCAATATGAGTGTAACGAGCTTTGTTTGTAAAGCGGGAAAATCTAATTTCATTTAGTCTTCACTAAATTATTAGGGAAATTGATTTGGGGGAAACATTAATACTGTAGCATTTTCTCTCTTCCAAACGAGACATGCATCTGTACTTCTTAAACTCTGTTTAGCCTTCAAATTGCAATCGTAGGGCTGATATGTGAAGAATGAGGACGTTGTCGGAGTTGCTTGGCATTGATTTAGCCGAGGCGTTGAGTGAAGGCTCCAATTTAGGTTGCGCGAAAGAGCTTCAATTCAACAATGACAATGTAAGTAGTAGATTCAATTAAATTTCATTTAATACATGGTTTTTTTAGAAGAATTCAATATTTTGTGTCTTCACAACATAATTGATTTAAATTTTGCTCAACATTTAGGTTTGGAAATGCTAATTTAAAATGTTGAATGTGTGGATATGGAGAATTGTTAACAGAATGTGGGGTCGTAGAAAATATGGACCTTTGATAATGGAGTTGATTTGATTTGTTTTATGTGTGTTGAGTTGAAGAATGTGTGTTGATGTTATTGATTGGTTGGATGTTGTATTGAATTTGTGTGTATTTTTTTGTGCCTTTATGTTTATTGTAGGGCTGTGGGTTTGATGATACTGTTGTGGGGCTAAATGGATCAAATGAAAGGGAGGGTAGTGTAGAATTTGGGAATGATGATATGATTGATGAAGATGAGGAAGATGGTGATGATGATGGTCAAGATTTTGAGGAAATCTGGTGTGAGGAAGAGGGTGAGGGTGAAGAAAATGGGGAATTTAGTTACGAGGAAGAGGTTGAAGATGGTATGGAAATGGAATATGAGGATGGTGGGGTATCTGGTGTTGGTGAAAATGTTGGGGGTTCCTCCTTTGTTACCCCCAAGAGGAAGGTAATGGTTGATACCTTTGTAGGGGAGGAAGAGGAACTGGAACCACTTGCCATTGGTATGGTGTTTGGTAGTTGGGATGAAGTTGTTAGCTACTTCTGGAGGTATGCGAGGCAGAAGGGATTTGGCATAGTTAGAGCAGCATCTGGTTGGGCTAAGGTGAAGAGTGAATTGGGAAATGGTAAGTTTTGCAAACATAGGAGGAATGCGAAGTGGACTTGTGAGTGTTATGGTGTACCCTCTAGGAAGCGAAAGGTTGATCCTCTTAAGGAAGGATTGGCGCAAGATGATGACTCTGTTGAAAAAGGAAAACAAAGAAGTGTTCATGCCTTGTGGAGTTGTATGCTAGTGTAAATGCGGCGGGGGATTAGGTTATTCGCAAGGTTTATTTGGAACATAAAAGGCACAGTCACTCTAAGAAAAGCAAGGGATGTTGCCATGTTTCGTAAGCATGAGTTGGTTGTTAAAAATAAGCATTTGGTTAAACAGGCCTGTAATGCCAAGAAGTCAAGGGTGAAAATTTCACAAACGTACAGTTGTATTGCTCGAGAGAGGAATGGGGTTGATCAGTTGGCCTTTACGCAAAAAGATTTGGAGAATGCAGTTTCTGAGTTGAAGAAATTGGAGTTGACCGAGGGTGACGCAAATGGTATGATTGAGTATTTCCAAAAAATGAGTTCCGACAATCAGAATTTTTTCCACCTCTGTAGGTTTGGGAAGGATGGTGCATTGTAGGATGTTCTTTGGGTTGATGCAAGGAGTAGGGCTGCCTATGAAGAATTTGGCGACGTTGTATGCTTTGACAGTACGTATTTGACGAACAGATTCCATTTCCCATTTGCTGTCTTTCTTGGGGTTAACCATCATGGGCAGAGTATATTGTTAGGTTATGCGTTGATTTCCCGTGAGACTGTCGAGACGTATGCGTGGGTGTTCAAGACTTGGTTGAATTGCATGGGTGATAAAGCTCCAACATCCATACTTACGGATCAAGATCCTGCCATTCGCAAAGTTGTTTGGTCTTGAATCAAACATGTCACAGGTGGTGCATATGGCATATTTTGCAGAAGTTTGGAAAGTATCTTGGGAAGTTGGAGAAATATGAAGAATTGAGTGATGAATTGGAAAATATAATATATGGGAGTTTAGTTCCTGAGGAGTTTGATGATCGTTGGATGGATGCAATTGAGCACTATAAGTTGCAAAAAAATAGTTGGCTTGAAGGTATGGTAGTTCTTATTTGGTTCTATAGTTTTAATTTGCATTATGGTTGTGTTTTAATTAATAGATATCTGGGAAAGTGTTTGATTTGTTCCTTACTAGAATTTTTTGTTAATGATTTGTTCCTAACTTGGTGTTAGGTGTGGTATTTGAAGAATGTGAACTTATACTTTATGGTTGTTGTTGTGGTGATCATAGACTTAAAAGTATAGCTCTTATTACGACTCCCCCCCCGGTATATTCTAAATGCGTTGCCTGTTGCTTGTGTTGTATCATGTGTGTTTTATGCTTATAAAATGAAGTTCCATTTGTTGGGAATTTTGTTACAAATTTAACATATTTTCTGAGCAGGTTTGTACTTGGAAAGACATATGTGGGTGCTAGCATACTTGAAACATCTGTTCTGGGCAGGGATGAGAACGACTCAGAGGTCCAAGAGTTTTAATCATTTTTTTAAAGGCTATGTTGACAAGAACACCACTTTGTCAGAGTTTGTGCTCCGATATTGTGATGCCATGCAGATTAGAGCCGAAGCAGAAAGAATTGCGGACTCTAACACGCTTCGATATGTTCGGGAATTAGCAACAGCATTTCCTGTCGAGGAGGTGTTCCAAAAGTGCTACACGGACTCAAAATTCAAAGAAGTCCAGCAGGAGTGTAAAAAAATTTTGTATGTGCGTTGTATAGATCAAATAGAAATTTCTGACAAACTTGTGGAGTACATTCTTGAAGATCGTGTTTGGATCAAGCCGAAGAATGCGAGGAAGGAGAGTGTAACGAAAATTCGTAGATGTTACAGGGTTATGTATGATAGTAGTACATTTGAGGCACCGTGTGACTGTAAGCATTTTGAATGCCATGGAATAATTTGTCGGCATATGATCTTTGTGTACGATCTTTCTGGTGTAGGTATAGTACCTGAGAAATACATTCTTCGCCGTTGGAGGATAGATATGCAGAGAAAGCATACAAGAGTGAAAGTGGCATACCATGACCCTCTCAAGACAGATGAGGTTCGACAGTACCACAACCTTATGGGGGCTTATGAACCGATTTGTTCTAAAGCAGCTTCCTATAAGGAGGCTGTGGCTGCTGTGAATGATTTATTGCAGTTGATGGACCTTAGAGTGGACGAGGTAATTGCTATGGTCGAAAAAAGCGAAAACAGGAAATGGAGGAAAATGGTAATGAACAACAGCAACTTGAGGATGAGGCTGGGCGTGAGAAAGATTTGGTACTTACCCCTTCATCTGTGGGACAGAACAAGGTAACACATAACAGTGCACGTAACACAGCTCTTGTAACTCCAAGTAGTGCTTTTCAGGGTAGTTGTGAAGGGTCTTTTGTTGATTTATCAGGTGCCATTCTTGATCTATCTGGTGCCATTCCTGACCAATCAAGTGTCACTCCTGATCCACCATTACCTAAGAAGAAGAATCACAGGACCACTAATAAAAGATATCCTTCATGCACGGAGAAAAAGGGAAAAGAAAAGGCAGCAAGAGCTAAGAACGCAGCGAAGAAGCTAGCTGCTAAAAACAGCACCACTAGTGTCACATTGTCCAGCCATGAGTATATCAGGTCTGCTGGAATGCACATGACAGACCTTGATGGTTCCATAGCAAACTTCACTTGTACTGGGTACGGCAGTTAATATGTAGACTACGTATGTTTTGGTTATTACTCTATGAATGTGATTGTGTAATATTCTCGGTAATATTGTAATTTGACATGATTTTTGTTGATAAGCAACAAAAGTTGTGCATGCCCTATAAGGTGGTATTGCTTAGGTATCGTTATGACTTATTACTTGACTACTTGTTATGTAATGGTACTTTATATTTACCCTTTTAACAATAGGTGTACTATTTTGTACCATTGAGGCTGCAATTTTTATAATTTTCAGGAATGGTAATTTAATGTTCCATTTTTCATCCCGCCTATGTATGAGTTGTGTACTTTGGTAATTGTCCTTAAAAATTGACAATGTGGCGCAATTTTTTAATTATGACAATTAACCATCTTAAGTATTATTATAATGTACTAATGTGAAATCACCCATGCCTACTTATGGTATTGTACTGTAATATTAAAATAAATTAATGATCCACTCCAAGTGCAAAGTAAAGACCTACATACCACCATGGAACCTATGCGTCAATCATCGAATTGTACCCATGTACCCATAGATGTATACAACAGTGACTGACTACTGGTTTTTGGAGTTGCGTATTAGGTTGGGTTATGAATTCGCATTGTACTTAAGTTTGAATCCCATAAATATATATATGAATTCATTTGGGGCCCTTTGATTCATTTAGTGTACCTTATTAACAGGACTTCATATGTACCATCAACGGTATGGTATCATAACTCAACAATAAAGTGGTATCATATTGTACTATCAGGGAGGATATTGTACCAACGTTGCAATGGATAAATAACCAAGGGTACCACTATCAGGGTTCGTGTGGATATAGGGTACCATTCTTTACCCTATGACCCTTGTGTCAATGAAAATCGTCATTAAAGTAAGTTTAATGAATATTAAAGGACTCATTATGAATTTGTGTAACCTAGGAGGATAGGTTATATTTAGTCTAAGAACTCTAACATGTTAAAATTATAATCAAATCTAATATTGGTAAGTTATAAACCACGCTTCATGAACTACTCACGTAGTCAGACATAGTAGGTGAGGAACTCATTTGTACCCATATGTACTTGCACTTGGATAGTGAATTACGAGTTTTGTTGTAAATGAACATAACTTAAAATTGAATTTATAGAACTTTCCATAGTAACATTACATATTCAAATGGTTTTACAAATTTGGCTCAACCTTTTGGAAGTAAACAAAATAAAATGATCATGTACTTAAGTCCCTATAACATTTAGATGATGGACATGTCCTATATCAACCCAACGCTTTAATACTAGTATAGTTTTGTACCATAATTTCTTGTTAAGATACTTAACGGTACATTGTATTTGTTTATGAAATTGCTACTGTACCATAAGTGATGTGAAAATGGTAGGGCCCCACTGCTCAATTGGCGCGTAGACCAAACGTATTTTACCGCCATTTTTTATTTGTTCAAACCCCTTTAGTGTCTTGTGTATCTCAAATGCTTTATTAGTGGAACTTAATTGTACCGCCACTAAAAATTTGACATAATAATGGTACTTTAAATGTACCGATGTACTGATAAATTTACCGCTGTGTGGTTAACAAGGGCTGGTGCCCCTTTGTTGATTTGGCGCGAAAGGGTAACGTGTATTGGCGCCATTTTTCTCCCTACCTTGTATATTGTGAATGTATGAGTTTTTGTATTTTCAATAGTAAATAATTAAATTTATTATAAATATGTTTGTCATTTTTCCCAATTGACTCACCACTTATGAAATCAAACTTAAGCACTTTGTTCATGGAATCAAACACATCCTCCTCCTTGGTGCGGCGATCTATTAGGCGACCGGTTGCAACTGCTGAAACGTCATGGATATCGGCCAAAAATTGTTCTTGTTCCGGAGCGGGATCAAACTTGGTGGAGTTCCGGATATCAATGTCCGAGATGAATCCAATGAGGCCTTACTACAAATGTCGTCTTTGCGGCAACTGGGAATGGGCTGTCGATGGTGACCTCGTTAAAGACGGTCCTTCACCTAATATTGCTGCAATTGTTGAAAGGGTGGAGGTGTTGGAACACCATAACATTAATTTAGTTAAAATCGGGCTTACTCTGTTTCTCATAGCAGTTGTATTGTATTTAAAGTATTAGGCTTTATGGATGTACTGTGTTGTGATAAGTACTTATTGTCCATGATGAAATCGTTCAATTAAATTTATTTTGAATGCAATAATTTTAATTGTGAGATCAATCTAATTATCCATTCAACACACCAACAATTTCATGTACAAAAGGTTATGTAGTCACATTACAATGCCCTACGACGAACGACTACTCCCTGATCCTTCAAAATATGAAATACTGGGGATTGGCTAAATAAATAAAAAATACTCCCCTATCAAATAATACTACTCCCATCATAGTGTTCACCAATCATACAAAATACTTTGATAAACCATAAGCTGAATTGAACTCTACAAAAGGGCAAAATTTTAAAACAGGGGGTAACAAACCAAAAAATTGAGAACTCTTGTCAACTTGAATCGTTCAATCCCAGTCATAAACAAGCCAAGGTTGTTCATTCATCATTTCATGGTCGCTTGATGCATACCCCCCGTCATAGCAGTCTGCTGAGTCAAGGCCTGTCTTGTTCTGAAACCGAGTTGTTGCTTCCTCAAGCCTTTTCGCATACCATTTTGGGTAGTCGTCGTAGGTAAACGGCTCAGCTGTGATTAATTTCAAATGCTTCATTTCATCATATCCATTCTCTGCCAACATTTGACTCCTAAAATGCATGCGCTCCTCTTCATCGTGTACTATAGTCTCGTAAGGATCCTCTTCAGACAGATTAAGCCACTCCATTGTGGAGTTCACACGACCCTTTTCTTGATCAGCGCTGAAGTTGCGGCCTAGCAAAAGCAAACCGTACTCATCTGTGTCATTGCAATGTGTTTGCAGCATGTACTCAACATGCTTATGCCACAGTGGAAGAGGTAGGAACAACTTCCAAAACTTGGTTAAGTAAGTGCCCCATTATATGTATTGCAAGCACTCTTTCAAGTCCTTTAAGAACTCTTTGAAATTGACAACAACAACAATTTTGCATGCATCAACGAGGTAGTTCATGCAACAAAAAGCTTCCTTCCTAAAAAATTATGCCCTACCAATTTTAAAGGGGGTTAGGAAAGGGTACTCAGGGTGGAAATCTATCCCGAGTATGGGTTTTTCTAAACCACCACGTTCAATAGTAGCGGATTTATGGCAAAAAATCATCTCCCTACTCCTTCGAAGAAAGAACAAGTCCCTAACAACACCATTTGCATCATGGTAGCCCTGTTTTTTTCCATTTTTTCAACTTTTCCATAACACCAGGTGGTGTGATCATGGTTTTATTTTCCTTTTCCTTTTTTTTCACCATAGTTGTAAGTTTTTGGAGTTTAGAGTTATTAGTAACAGGATAAACAGAGAACTTTTAGTGGTTTTAAAGCCAAGGAAGTAGACATGTGTGTTAAATGTAGACTTGGCTAAGTAAAATGGTAAAAATTATTGTAAAAAAACCCCAGAAACAGAATATACGCACCATTTACAGTTGGGACTTTAGTAGTTTGTGATGGTACAATAAACATACAAAGTGGTTGTATAATGTACCATTATGTTAATAATGGTGCACTCTGACTTGTGTCACTTTGTGTTTCTAACGAGTCTGAAAATTATAAAACGGTACATACTGCCCATTCTACAGTACAAGTTACACCTAAAATGGTACACTGTAGTACTTCACCTTGGTTTTCGTTTTAACTGTCCTGACGTGTTGTCAAGTCAGTACAGTCCCTAGGTGCGTAGACTATCAATCACGAATCACCCTATAACAACTAAATAATTTATTTTATTTAATTATTCTATGTACCTCTCTGTTGCAACATGATAGTTAATGGTATTATTACAACCTATGGAAGAACATATTTGTACCACATAATTTTAATATTGTTAATTTAACTTCCATTTTCCGTAAAAGAGAGAGGCAGTGATACATTTTACCACCCTATTTTACCACCCTACAATTTTCAGTAACCTTCTGTTTTGTGAGTTTTGTATATATTAGAAAATTCAAATTTGATGAAAAAGAATTTTCCCGCTCTTGAAGGCTTGACCACCATATTATTCCACCTTGTTCTTCAATTTTAGAACTCTTCCTATCCTCTTCTCCAATCCCCGCCCCTGCTTCAACCTTTTCACTCCAACAACATGAGTCAATCCCTCCATCGTGCTTCCACCTCTGTAGTGACACAAACACCGACACTTGATGTTAGCACATGCCACCCAGAAAAGCCCATTATGTACTTTCAAAAATTACAAAGGGAAGATAATGAAATTAACATTAACCTTGTTGAATATTTCAAGGGGAATGATGAGATGCTTAATGGGGTTAGCTACCCTACACAAAGCTTAAGAGCATATCTTCTTCAATCAATGTGCTCGTCAACCGAATTCATGGTTGTGCCAGATGGGAGCCCTGTTCTAGGACATCTCCCACTGATCGGGGACTTGGTGGGTTGCTACAGTGAAGGGGCTTGTATCCTGTTGTATTGGATGCTCCAAGGGTTCTACTCCTCATCTACTGGGTTAACTATACCAAGCGATTTGGCTGAAGCAATTGACATGAAACCCATTCTCAACATCAAAACCACCCCAATTTATAGCTTTCCCATGAATTGGCGCCATATCTTTGTTGGATTGTACACAAATACACTCCACGTGATGCGAGTCGACATATCTTACACACAACTGAGGGTCCAAGTTGAGGGTTCCACATTGAAGCCAAAAGTCCAACAACATCTGCCTATCCGTAAACGCTATCAACGCATAAGTTACAGGGGAGAACACATTTCGTCCAGTGTTGATTCAGTTTTGGATCATGGATCCGTGGTTCTATTTTGGAATGCCCGAGGATGCACCAGGCCCTCATTTGTTCAGCACTTCACAACTCTATTTGATAAGTTCAACCCTTTGATGTTCATCATTC